AAATATATATTTGAAAACAATGATAAAAGTATTTGAGAAACTATTCAGAAGTCATATAAGTTCCATAAATTAAAATTTTATGCTTCTTTTTACCCTTTGGTAATGGCTGTATGTTCTAAAAAAAAAACTTAGGGACATATGCATATTGTTACAACCTCTCTAGGTCAGTTTAGTTGAGAAGATATAACCATAAAAGTATGGGTTAGGAATGAAACTTGGTAGATTTCTTGTGGTTTTGATATTCTTTAATGAGGTATTCATGATTTAGTTTTTTGGTTTAAATTTTCATTTTAATAGTATTTATAAAATGGATTCATCAAGTTTGAAACAATTATACATAAATTTATTGTGAAATAAACCACTATATAGGATGATACTGCGCTCTTGCAGTACAGTTGCATATACAGATGCTAGTAATTGAGCATTATGAAATTTAAAGGTAAATTGATGAAAAGATTCATATCTTAAAATGTCCAGAGTTTAACTCTAGAGAACAGTCTGCAACACATCAATAACTTGTGATGTAAAGTTTAAAGATCTTTATAATTTCAAAATAGCATAAAGTATTTGTTTGTTAAAACCAAAAATATTATTAATTAAAAGCATATGGGTTTTTGTTAATATTTATAATTAAAGTTTTATACCTCTGACTTACTTCAACTGTAAGCAGATTTCTCCTTGTGTTATATGTGTATTTTTGCATATCTAAGGATTTGGTTAAATTTCTGTATAACCTTCTATAAGAGTGTGTAATATTGTCAACTTTTACAGGACTTATAGAAGTGGATATCTTTGTAAGTGAAACATATTGATATCAGAGTGCATATGCATCATTGAAAGTCCTTGAAATTGAGAATGGAATTTCAAGAGCTTGAAAGTGTTTGAAAAGGAGTCTTTTTTTTCCAAAAGTACTTGAAAATATTATAATAGCAGAATAGATCAGTATATGTAACTTTAAAGCATGTTGTGGAGTTGGGTGCGATAAATAAAGTATTTATTTTCTTTTTAGTCTACATTCATATGTTGAACAAATAAATAGGAATTTTATAAAATTATAGTGGAATTCAATGGATTTTGATGTAGATTTTAGCTTCCAAAAAATGCTTAAAAACATTCTGAGAGTGCTTAGAAAGTCCTTGTAATATACTTGAAATTGATCTCAGCAATTCAGTATGAACCATGTGATATGTCCCTACATGTAAGTAGGTTTGAACTTCCCAGACCTGAAAATGAGCATTAACAAAGAAACTTGAGGTATTTTTGGAGAAACAAAATCTGTCTTTGAAAATACATAGTGATTAGTCTTAAATGAAATTATTTTTTGATAAGGCAATTTTTTTTATCGAAAACCAAGTTCAGGAATTGTGTTACTTGAGAAAATATCAGATTTGCACCAATAGATAAATACATTCAATCTAGTGACTTAATTAAATATAAAATTATTTGAAAATTTGGTTTTGACTGTTTCAAGAGCATGCTAATTTTCAAGGCAGACTTTTTTCAAATAACTACTTTTAGTGATAAATTCTGAGGCTGTGGTACCTTTATGTAATTAAATCTAGATGCAAAGTAAACTACAGCACCGAAGAAGTTGGCATAATTCACATCGAAATATATATAATTATAATGCAAATTGCACCAAAAAAGGCTTATTCTGTTATCATTGTGTAGAGATTTGCTCTAGCTCAAGATCTCACTTTCAAATAGGTGATGTTTATGTAGCCCATACTGGGTAAAAGCTAATATTTTGTGCATCTGACTAATAAATTAAGAAAAGCATTTACTCTGATGTTTACCTTATGCAGCTTTTATGTTTTTCATGTTTTTGTGCCTTAACTCTTCATTTGCATTTAAAGTATGGTTTTAACTTCAAGGCCATTCTTCAAGACCTGTTCCCAGGAGTTGTACTTCCTCAGCATGATTATGGCATGCTTCAATCAGAAATTGAGAAAAGTTTAACTTCTAAGGGTCTACAACCTGCAGGTGCTATGGTAAAGAAGATCATACAGTTATATGAGACTATGATTGTGCATCATGGAGTCATGTTAGTTGGGCCAACTGCTGGTGGAAAAACTACTTGCTATAAGGTTAGAAATATTTCCTGCTAAATGCTTGTATATTGTTGAGGATCAATAAACTTTAAGTACTTGCTCTGAAGATTTTATACTGTATATGTATGTATAAATAGAAATGACTATTTTTTGTTTAAAGGAATTTGCTTTATTAATTAAAAAAAATAAAACCATATAATATTCTTTTACATAGTACTTATAAAAGATTTTTTACAGTTAATACCAACTCTTCACAAAATCGGATTTACTTAATGCATATTAGATGGTTTCTTATATTTTAGGAAAATTATATTCAAATTACTTGGTTTATTTTTAAAGAGTATGAGACTTAACTTGTATACATGTAATCTTTCTCACAAGATCCTGCAAGACACTCTGACTAACTTAAATAATGCTGGGGTACAGAATCCATACTTCAAACCTGTACATACCTATGTTTTAAATCCCAAATCTGTCACACTGGGAGAACTTTATGGAGAAGTCAACAGTCTGACTTTAGAATGGAAAGATGGCTTAATGGGGATAATTGTTAGAAAAGCTGTACAGGTATTTATTTCAATTAGGAAAATGTAAAATGTATTATGATTCTATTTATTTACTTATCTTTTTTTAAATTATACTGATTCATGTTTTTCTGATTATTCACTGTAACAGTCATTAACATGTAAAATTTAAACTTCATTAAGTATTATTATGTAGTAATTTAACTAGATTTTTAAGAATTGTAATTAATTACTTTGAATAATTATTACAATATTTTGTTATGAGAAAAATGTTTCTTAATGAATTCTCATAAGGATTTTTTCCTTAGAGATATTAAAGCACCATACATTAGTGACAAAATAAATTATTCATTAATGTAAATGTGCTACATATAGTGCTCTGCTTCACAGAGAATTATTATTATATGAAGGGTTCTTAAAAAAAAATAAGGTAATATTTTAAAATCAAATTTACACTTAATATTTGTGTTGTTAAATGTGTGGTTTTTAAATAGGCTACAAATTCTGACCATCAGTGGGTTATCTGTGATGGACCTATTGATGCTGTGTGGATTGAAAATATGAATACTGTTCTTGATGACAACAAAATTTTGTGTTTGGCCAACAGTGAAAGAATTAAGCTAACACCATACATTCACATGGTGTTTGAAGTGCAAGATCTTGTCCAAGCTTCTCCAGCTACTGTTAGTCGGTAAACTAAGTAAAAGCTATAGTTGGTTATTGTGTGATCTAAATATAAACCAACATAAAAGATGTTTGCATAAAGTTACTTATTTTACTTGACTGTTGATAATTTAGTATAGTTTAGAAATAACATGATAAGCGTGCTTGTTTAGGATTATTAGATGAGGCTTAAATTTATATATATATGTGTATATATATATAAAAGAAGTCTCTTACTTTTTGTATAATACCTCTTGACATGTGGAAAATTCTAATATTTTTATAACTATTTTAACTATTCAGTTAATTTTTTGGTTCAGTGGTCAGATATGATGTACATCTGTTTTAATTTAAAGCGTTTATTATGAAATTTCATTCAATTTGTGTGACTCATACTTTTTTTTTCTATTACCACAAAAATCTTTTAACCATAGCAAATAAGATGTGAGTCAGCTGTTTGTATTAGTTTCAACGTGACTTGGAAAAAGAATCACATAATCTAGGAAGGAGTGACCACTTTTTATGCTTTGAATTCAAAGTACAGTAGGAGTTAATTCTCATGAAAAACAAAGAGTAAAACACTGTGTAAACTAAAATAGGCTCCAAAATGATTCAATAGATAGAATTGAGAGAATATAGACTGTTAAAAATTTTCAATTTCACAATACTTATTACAAATGCAATTCCCAACCTTTGCACATGCTTTTCATGACTAAAGTTCTTCCCCTATTTCAATATGAATCAGGAAGACAAATAAACTGTAGCTTAAGGATCCAGTTGGCACCCATAAATCTTACTTAGTGGGAGGTTATAATTAATGAAAAAAAAAACATCAAGAAAGTATCATTGTTAAATATTAGACTTTGTTTGAGAGCATATAAATATTAATAAATACCAAATTCAGATTGCTCTTGGTCAGGGTTATCTAGCCACAGAAATTAAATTTACAAGAATCAGTTGAAGTTATCTAGACACACAAAATTAAATTTAGAAAGACAGTTGAAGCCAATGACAATTATATTATGAATCTAGATGCTTTTATCAGTCACTTGCCCCCCCCCCCCCCCAATGGCATAGCGGTATGTCTGCAGACTTACAACGCTAAATCCGGGTTTTGATACAGAGCACAGATAGTCCATTGTGTAGCTTTGTGCTTAATTACAAACAATCAATCAGTCACATTACATTGAATAAACATAATATAATAAATACAGATTTAGAAAAATAGACAAGGTAATTATTATCCACAAGAATATCATTTGTATGCAGTTATTACAGTTAACAACTTACTTACATTCTTGTTTATCAGCTTTTATTGCAGTAAATATTTGTCAGGATTTTATGTATGTAGGCTGGGATTCTTTAACAGTAGGTATCTGTGGCTTGTTGGCAATAAATTTAAACAATAACCAGACAGCACAGAATCCACCTGTTTTAAAATAATATATATATATATATATATATATTCAAAACCAGTCGAACGTACTTACAAAAATTATTTACATGACAAGATATCACAGTTCTATCTAAAACTCTAAATAATTCACCTTTCTTATCAAAAGTCCAAATGGGCTGATTCAATTACTTTAGAATCCAATTGACAAAACAAATTATTTTTCTCTACTCTGTTCCTTACTATACAAGTTGTGATAAATTCACTTACGTTACCCCATGGGTTACCACAGTTGTATTGAGAACTTCAAATAATTGCCACCTTTTCATCAAAATCCACACAGATAGGTTTAATTACTTCAGAAAAACTTTCTTTAAAATATTGCCCATTACGGTTAAACTAACAATCACACAGTCTAACTTTACTTTCACTAACTTAACGTTTTCTGACATAACTTCACTTGTTGGTTACCACAGTTGTATCGAGAGCTTTAAATAATTGTCTCTGTTTTTATTTTGTCATCAAAAGTCCTCACAGGCAGGTTCAGTTACTTTAGAACCCAGTTGACAAGACAAATTATTTTTCCTATCTCTGTTGTTACATTGTTTGTTTTTGAATTTCGCGCAAAGCTACACGAGGGCTATCTGCGCTAGCC